CCCTATGGACAGTGTCAGGTGGGGACAGCATCAAGCTTCTGGCAAAGGTCTCCTTGCTCTGTACCTTTCATCCCGTGCCCCTTGGTCACGCCAATGACATCAATCATCTCGTTCTGGCTGAAGACGCTGTGCACGGAGACCTGCTTCTCCAGCCTCTCCCGAACCCAGTCGACCTTGTCAGCCACTGTCCCACCGTTCAGCTGGATCTCCATCACATGGGCCTTCTTCTGCCGCAGCGGGAGCAGCTTCATCTGCATGACAAAGTGCATCAGGGCAAAATGCTGCTCCTTGCCCCATGGACATGAACACAGAGGCTGGGCTGTGTCGCACCCCACTTGTGAGGGGCACAGGGGGTGAGCAGAGCTCTTCAATGCCCCTCTCAACCCATTTCCTAACAGTCAGCAACCTGGGTCACCATGTTTATATATCTGAGACCTCCTGGAGGTAACTCCTTATCCTTGAGCCCAACCACCCCATCTCCCAGTGCTTCCACTCCAAGCAGGAGCTGATGCACACCTGCTCTCCAGGGAGCACAGGAATAAGCCAGCCTCATCCTACCCCAAGAGTTAAGCACAGCAGTAACAGCCAGGCTAGGTGAGTGCCCCGGAGGAGCCCAGCACTAGAGCACCCTCTAAAACTGAGCACTGGGACGAGGCAGGATGCAGCCCTCTGCTCTGAGACAGTCAGTGCCTCTCCTTTGGTCATGCTCCACCTCTGCTTCCACACTGAGCAGTTATTCCTAGTTCCCAGCAAGAGGTGCCTCCGCTCTCTCCCACTCCCAGCTCCCTGTTCACAGCCCCTGCCAAACTGCCATAGTGGGGCTTTGAGGTTCTGTGCCAGCTACAAGGGAAGCCTGGAGCCAGCTTAGCTCTGTCCCAGGCTCCAAAGCAGATGTTAACTCCAGGGATCAGCAGGAAAACCGGCCCTGTGTATCCAGCAATCAGCATCTGGCAAAACCAGGCCTGCCCCTGGGTTATTTTTGCCCAAAACACTTGACACCAGTTGCTAATCTGAGGTGATCATGGGGCCTGAGGTCCCTCTGCTGACACAGGGCCCAGCACCTGCTGAGGCTCTGTGTGCTCTGCTCTCCTCTGTGGGGTGTGTGAGCTCCTGAACCACAGCCCCTGCAGCAATTCCAGGCTCAAAGGGACAGTGTTGGTGTCAGGAGGGAGCCCCCCATTGCCTTTAGACCCTGTCCCACACCCTCTGACCAGTGTCTGCTTGCTCAGCGCCCTGTGACCCCACCAAGACACCCCCATGATCCCACCTCCCAGGTCCACACTTCCCAAGCTAAGGAAGAGCCAGATCCCCCCTTGCCCACCCCAGGAATGAGGTCTCTGACCTGTGTGTGCACAATGACACGAATGACCTTGCAGTACTTCTTCATAGCTGCAAAATCCTTCTCCAGCTGCCTTTTGCCATCCTCATCCTGCCACTTTTTGCAGTACTTGGTGAACGCCTTCTTCTTGCTCTTGTGCCTACAACCAAAGGGGTTTAACACCCAGGCAAGCTGGATGGTGAAGTGCTTCTGCACATCCCTGCACCCTGGGACAGCGTGGAAGGACACATCACCCTGCCAGGCACCTCTCTGGTGCCTTAACTGTCAGGGCCAGCACACAGGGGTGTGAAGTGGGGAGAGGCGAGTGAATAATGAGCTGTGACAAGGGCTGGTAATTCAAACCTTTCTGCATGAGGAATCCAATTGTCTCCCACTGACGGGCTCAGTGCCACCAACATGCAAGTGCAAACTCAGAGGGAAGAGGAGAACACAGCCTCTAACAGGGATCAGAGGGATGGGGTGGGTGGGTCTCAACGGCACTTTATAGGAGACACGATGGATGCCTACAGTCACGGAGCTCGTGTTTCCATATTCCTCTCTGCTGCTGTGGGGTTTGGGGCGTTGATGCTTACAAGAGCCAAGGGGCACATTCTGCATCAGCTTTCCCCCTGACAAATCGGGTTTTCCTCCCCTCCTTTGGTGCCTCAGCTCCAGTGTTCCAGTTCAGTGGAGAGCAGATGAGCCTACACTAAGGAAAATGAACCTGCAGCACATGCTGCCATGTGATATTGCGCAGAGCTCACCCAGTTCGGCTATTAGAATACATTTACATACGCATATGCCCATTGCCAGCACCAAGCTGTTTGCAGCATCTCTGTGCATGACTAAAGCTGCAGTTTCTCTCCAGCCCAGAGCCAGCTGCCTGTGGCTGAGCTGTTTGCAATGGTTGGGTACCTGTGGGGAAGACGAGAGGGGGACCCCTCACACGCAGCACCCCAGGGAGCCTCCCCAGCACGCACCAGTTCCTGTAGAAGCGCCGCCGGCACTCGTCACTGATGTGCTCAGCAAACACTGTCTTGAAATTCCTCAGGCCCTTCGGTGTTTCTACGTACCCCACAACCCCAACCACCACCAACGGCGGGGTCTCAATGATGGTTACGGCCTCCACCTCCTCCCTCTTAGAGATCTCTGCAAGATAGGAAAGGGAAGCAGTGCTCAGTTGTGTCTAGGGTCAGATCATTCCCTAAAGCCACTTGGTAACGGTTGGACTTGAGGATCTTAAAGGTCTTTTCCAACCTGGTTGATTCTATGATTCCATGATGTTACAGTGAGCAAGCAGTGTGCTAGGGGCAAGGTCACACTATAGCTTCACAGCCAGCATCAGCCCTTCCATCTCTCACCTACTAGAGGACCACATGGGGTTCGATCTCTAGAGGTTAGACCCTGTGGTCCAGCAGCATTCCCAGCGTTGGGGGAAGCATCACACTGGGTGGCTCTTGCCTTGGATATCTCAGAGAGTAACATGAATTCCCCAGCGAGATGCTTCAAGCCCAGTAGTTGCCCTGCATGATCCTTCCTGCCAGCAGGATCCACCGGTCACCATCCCAGTGTGGGCACTTCCCAGCAATCCCTAAGGCAGCCCTCGGCCATCCAACACTTGGATGGCGGTCCAGCACACATCCTGGATGCTATGTGCTTCACCACCCTCTCCCACCAGCAAGCCTCGTCCCTTGTTTCCCTCCGGGATGCGGCTCCTTCCTTTCTCCAGGCCGGACTTACTGAGCCCGGGCCTGTGCACCTCCCGCACGGTGTGCGTCATGCCCGCTTTGTAGCCCAGGAAAGCCGTCAGATGGACTGGTTTGCTGGGATCATCCTTCGGCCACGACTTCACCTTCCCTCGGTGGCGCCGGCTCCTCTTGTGGGGAAGGAAGCCCAAGTGGCCGTGCCTGGGAGCGGAGAACTTGCGGTGGGACTGCGGGGAAGAAGAACCAAGGAGATCAGCTTCACTTTGGGCTCCTAGAAGGCACCAGGGAAAGGCCAATGGGAAACACCCCCTTTAACATCAGTGAATGCTGGAGGGGGTCTGGCTTCTGCCTTGATTCCAAAAGGATGCGTTTATGTTCAAGCTTGCATCACAGGCATGGAAGAATTTAGTGAGTTTCTGGACAAATGATGCCAATGAAATAGAAAGACACTTGCAAAGGTCTCCTTCCTTCTGCTTAAGGACTTTGAATGAGAAATACATCCCTTGATGGGTCCGTCCCCCTGTGATGTTAATTATAACGGCTTATTTTGTACTCTGCGGCACCAAAAGGGCCTGCTCAGGATCGATGGGCTTCGTGACATCAAGACAAACGGCACCAAACAGCTAACGATCAGGAATAAGAGGCAGGGATGCCCAAAGGAATCCGTAATAAGAACGCGTGCAGGTTAAACACGCACCTGGAAACCAAATTAGCAGAGCTAAATATATAAACCCCAAGCACAAGGTCACACTGAGAGGAAGCAACAGCGCTTGAGAGGCTCGGCTCCAAGGCAGGGAGCTGGGGGGCAGCCCAAGCAGCACAGGGTTAGTTCTACACCCACTGCATCCCCTCCTCGCTCAGGTCAGTGCCAGCACCGGGTGACCCTCCCCACCAAGCTCATCTCCCCCTGCCCCTGTGCACACAGAGGGGAGGCAGCAGCGCGGAGCGTTACAGACCATGGGATGTCTTCAGCCCGCTCAGCGGCAGCGGGAGGCGGTTGGGGAGCGCTGCCCAGGCAATCCTTAAGATGTTTCTCAGGCTGAAGACACAAATTTAGCCGCTAGCTTCACCCGCTGCTATATCCATCCCGGGCTGGCAGGTTGGACGGAGCAGTTGCGGTGTGGTAAAGGTCAAAGGCCCGGGTCTCAGCTTACACTTGTCCCTCCTGAACAAGCGGGGTGGGAACGGCTCCCGTTGGGATGATGGGGATAAGGCGCACCACGCACATGGAGATGGGCTGCCCGGGTTCACTGCAGTGCTCTGGGTACGGATACACTGAAAAACCCCTCCGTCAGCCCAGGCAGGAATGGATTTATGGTTCTGGATGAGGGGATTGGGGCACCTGCAGTGAATTTGGAGCAATGGGATTTGTACCTCAAATCCTGAGCTCACCTCTGAGCTCCTCACTACAGGAGAGACATTGAGGTGCTGGAGCGGGGCCAGAGAAGGGCAGCGGAGCTGGTGCAGGGCCTGGAGCACAAGTGTGATGGGGAATGGCTGAGGGACCTGGGGGGTTCAGTCTGGAGAAGAGAAGGCTCAGGGGGGACCTGATTGCTCCCTACAAGTGCCTGAGAGGAGGATGGAGCCAGGAGGGGCTGGGCTCTGCTCCCAAGGAACAAGGGATGGGACAAGAGGAAACGGCCTCAAGCTGCCCCAGGGCAGGTTTAGATGGAGCTGAGGAACAATTCCTGCCCCAGAGGGTGCTCAGGCATTGGAACAGGCTGCCCAGGGCAGGGTTGCAGTCACCGTCCCTGCAAGTGTTCACACCCCCTCAGTGCCATGGGTTAGCGGTAGCCTTGGCAGCGCTGGGAACGGTTGGACTGGGTGAGCTCAAAGGGCTTTTCCAGCCCGATTGATCCAACGGCTCCGACCGGCACCGGTGGCGGCGGCGGAGCAGCCCCAGGCCGCTGCACGGACTACACCTCCCGGCATGCACCGGGCGCGGCGGAGCATGCGCAGAGCGCCCCTTCTGACCCCGCCACCATCTCGCCCGCGCCGCCGCCGCCGCCATGGCGGAGGACAGCAACCGGGAGGCGTACAAGGTGCCCCCGACCCGCACCCCCGTCTCCGAGAGAACCTCGTCGCTGCCGGACCCCACCGCCTTCTTGCGGACCGCCTTCAGCTACATCGTCGATGCGCCCGTCACCTTCGTGCGAGGTACCGGGAGGATAGGACCGCCCCCCCCCCCCCCCCCCACCGCTGCCGGCGGGCCTAGAGCCGCTCCGCGGTGCCGTGAGGGGAGCCGGGATAAGGGCAAGGGACGGGCACACAAGGACATAGGGAGTGGGATAGACCGGGACACAGACAAGGGTACAGCAGGGACAGGCACGGGGAGTGGGACAGACCGGGACACAGCAGGGATAGAGGGACAGACACGGATGCAGGACACGGACAAGGAGACAAGCAGGGGCAGGCACAGACTTGGAATACAAAGACATCGCATGGATAGATAGATGTGGGACACAATACAGCATGGACACCGGGACATGGGACACATCAAAGACGGGGATGTGCACATAGGGTTAGATACAGGGCCATGGGACACAGCAGGGACAGACACAGGGATGTGGAATGCAGGTAACAAAACATATACAGCGTTAGACACAGGGATGTGGAACACAACAGAGCACAGCATGTACACAGGGTCAGACACGGGGACGTGGGACACAGACAAGGACACGGCAGGGGCAGGAGGACAGACACGGGGACATGGACAAGAAGACAGCAGGGACAGCAAGCACCAACCTGGGGCCTTGGAAGGCAGCAGCAGCACCAAGCAGTGAAGCTTTGGCAGGCACTGGGGCCGTGCTGCCTCTCTGTAGCTGTGGGTCAGGGGTGTCTGACCGTGGGGCTGTCCCTGCAGAGTGGATCGAGCGCCAGCAGGCCAAGAACAAGTACTACTACTACCACCAGAAGTTCCGCCGTGTGCCCGACCTGAGCGAGTGTATGGAGGGAGATTACCTCTGCTTCTATGAGGCCGAAGCACAGTGGAGGAGGGACAGGTATGGCTGTCACTGCTCTGGCTGTCACCTCTGGGACCTGCAGCCCTTGGCTTGAACTCACAGTACTGTCGCAGACTCTGGGGTGTTGACAGCACCTCCTGCCCACTCCCTTATAGAACACCCCTTTCATAGGGCTGTTGTCCCCTGCAGCATCTCCCAGGCCATGAGCACACATCCTCCTATGCTGTCTGGTTCCTACACCTGAGCTTCCACAAGGATCCACACCCCATTGGCTGTTCTGTCAACCTCTTGGCTGGGATAGGAGTCACCTCTATCTTTCCCACAGGATGGTGGATCAGGAAATTGTGGAGATAGTCCGGGAAAGGCTTGGTGCTTGCAAGCAGAGGGAGGGACCCAACCAGTTCCAGAACTGTGCCAAGGAGGCAGAGCTGCTGGCACAGGTTACCAAAGCCTACCAGGACAGATGTGAGTACAGCACCAGCATGTGGGGGCACAAAGACAACAGGGATCTTGAGCTGCATCCCAAACAGGGGCACATTTCTTTCTAGCTGCAGAGCCATGCTTCACACATTGACTTTCTTTTTAGATGGTGATCTTGGTGTCCATGGAAATGCAAGGACTTGCCTGATGAAGCAGAAGCAGAGGATGATGGACGAGAGGAAAGCACAAGCCAGTGCCTCTGAGTAGGTGTGAATGGTTCACAGGTCCCCCTGTGGTGCTGGTACCCGATTCTGCATGCTGCATCTTTCAGCTCTGATGCTGTTGACCTCTACAATAAATGTGCAGAACAGCACATCTGCCATACAGCTGGAATATGGACTCATTCTTTGAATGGATCTGAAAACCCCTAAGAGAACTCTTCCTGTATTCAGCTCTGCTGAAATAGCAGCATCTTTGCATTCCAGCTGATCACCACTCCATCCCCTAAACCATGGTCAGCCCCCCCAGCTGCCTTACCTGGGATTTCCCACTGGACCTCTCCCCACCTCCCTAATTAAGGTGAAGGGCACATGCTGTAGAACAGCAAAGCTGGTTCTAGACCCTACTTAGGGACTAATATAAGATGAACAAGGATCAGCACAGCCTAATTTCAGTTTAACAGCTATTCAGGCTCTGGCCTGCAGACATGAACCTGCCCAAAAGCCTAGCAGATCCATCCACTCAAAGCATTCACCATCCCATTAAACCAGTTGCAATCTCTTGTTCACTGATCACTTTATTGTCTTGCTCCAAAACCCACTTAAGTGGTTGCCACAGCAGCTGCCTGGGTTCTCTGCACAGACACTCTGGTGTGGGTCTTCGCCAGGTGATCAGTGAACTCCTGCAAAGAAACAAAACAGTGTTTTATTTCCTTAACCACACTCAGGGGTTTCTCAGCACCACTTCCCTTCCCAACAATTGTCTGTGTGAGGCCTGGGGTACTTCACATACAAGATAGTATTTCAAAGCTTTCCTATTCCCTTCACCCATTAAATGACCTGGCAGTCAACTCCGACTGCAACACCACGCTCCTGCTGTTCAAGTGAATCCTTTGTGGACAGCACCTGAACTTTAAAGGGCAGGATTTGGGCTGTGAATTGCAGAATCACTCTCACCTGGTAAGGAGACTTGGTGAACACGGTCTCTTTCCAGAGGTCAGGAGTCAGGTAACTGTAGGTCTTGGAGATGGCATCGAAGGTGGCTTTAGCTATGGACAGAAGTCAAACATTGCTCATTGCTGCCACAGAAGCCAGCTCACTGTGCCCAGCCCCACTGCTCCAAAGGTGTAGAACTGAGCATGGAACAGGGAGACCACAGCAGGGTCTCTCTGATGCACACACACAACTCAGGTTTCTTTCTCTCACCATATACGACAATTACACTACTTCAACCAAGTGCAATCGCGCAGATTGGGAGATGTTTTACTATCAATGCACATTAAAAAAAGACAATTTCTCATCATTAATTTGTACAGAACTTCAGGATTATCTACAACAGGATGAACCTGCATTGTAAGAGGTATCAGCAGAAGCCTTTCCTTCTGCTTCACTGCTAGAATTGAATCAACACCAATTAAACTCTGGAGATGGGTGCACTGTGCCCCTGTCAGTGACAGGGATGACAACACACACAGCTAAATGCGGCACAAAGCCCTGAAGCTCACCAAAGTTGCCGAGGGTGGCCGTGCAGCCCCTGGCCGAGGTGTAGCAGTCATCAATCCCAGCCATCATCAGCAGCTTCTTGGGGACAGGCGCAGACACGATCCCTGTGCCACGGGGAGCTGGGATCAGACGCACCAGGACAGACCCGCACCGGCCAGTGACCTACACAGACAGACACACCAGGTCACGGCTCCCAAAACACACGCTGACCACCAAGCCCAGGCCCGGGAGCCCTACTCACCTTGCAAGGCACGGTGTGGGGTTTGCCGATCTTGTTGCCCCAGTAGCCCCGTCGTACGGGCACGATGGACAGCTTAGCCAGGATGATCGCCCCACGAATAGCAGTGGCAACTTCCTTAGAGCACTTAACACCAAGACCAACATGGCCGTTGTAGTCCCCGATAGCAACAAAAGCCTGGGATGGAAAGAGGAGGTTTCAGCTGTGGCTGAGCTGCTCAGACCAGTGGGGTCTCCCAGCAAGGGTAACCCAAGTTGCACACTCGGCAGTGAGCAGTCACAGCTCACCCAGACACAAATCAACCCTCACGTGCTAAAACCTGCCACCAGAGCTCACAGCTCAAGAAGCACATCTCCCTGGCCCCCTAGAGCTCATCCTTCCAAAGCTGAAGCCAAAGAACTGGGATTCAATTCCATGCTATAGCTTCCTACTGGTCAAAAATCCCAGTAATTCCCAAGCATCATTCCCTCATAACATGAGGCCCAAGGCTTCTCCCTCTGCACAGGCTCTGAGAAGCCAAGACTGCTGAGCAAGCACACCTTAATTTTGTGCTGTGACTGCTTTAAGTAACATCTGAACACCCTGCTACAGTTTACACAGCTACTTCTTAAGCCACCCAAAGTGATCCTCACACCAAAACATTCTGTAGTTACTACAGAAAAGAATAAAGCTATTTGAACTGATTTGTTAGTTCAATACCAAAAGAGCAGCAGACAACATACATAACACAAGAGAAAGAAAAAGCCACCTTAAACCTGGTGCGCTGACCAGCACGAGTCTGCTTCTGGACAGGCATGATCTTCAAAACCTCATCCTTCAGAGAGGATCCCAGGAAGAAATCGATGATCTCCGACTCCTGCAAGAGTCAGACACTGAACCACACAAGGCCCCACTTTCTAAACAACACAGCTTGTAAAGCTCCTACATTCCCTGTCAACAATAAACATGTTTTTAAAGGAAGTTACTAAAATATGTTAAGTTTCACAGGCATGAGCTGGCTCCAGCTGCTGCACAGTCCAATACAAGTTAAAAGCTTCATTCTTCCATCCCCGAGCAGCACTATCACAGAAGCACTTGAACAATACGCTGCCTCCCCACAGAAGGCAGAAGACAAAGCCCACCGCACTTCACTACAAGTGCCCACACCAGCCCTCAGCTACTGTCCCCTTATGTCACTATCCCAAACACATCACTTGAGCATCCCAAATGCAAGTGCAGCAGCTGCTGCCAGCTCCCTAGCTGAGGTTAAAAGTCTCCTGCGCATTACTGCAGCGTCCATGGAAGCTTACCTTGATTGGAAGCGAGAAGAGGTAGATCTCCTCAAGAGACTTGATCTTCATATCCTTGACCAGGCGACCAAGCTTGGTGACAGGAATCCACTAGCAAAGAAATCCATGGAAAAGGGTCACCGGCAGCTGCAGCTGCAGCAGCACCTCAGGGGAACCGGCTCCAGCTTCCAAACAGACGCAGCCTCCTCTCACCCCATTCCTGGGTCCCCACCACACACCCCCGAGAACCACTCACTTCCTTATCTTCGGCCTTGCCTCCGCGAGCCCCACGGCCTCTCCCTCGGCCTCGTCCACGGCCGCGCCCGCGGCCCCGCAGCCCGGTCCCGAAGCCGCCGCGGAAGCCCCCACGGGCCGCTCCCGCACCTCCTGCAGCACCGGCGTCATCCGCCATTTGCTAGACAAAAAAGAAGGGCGCGTTAAGGCGCGACGCGGCCGCCGCTCCGGCAGGACCCGGCGGGGACCCCCGCTCCTCCGGCCGCACGGATGGACACCGATCCGGTGCAGGCCGCACCAGCACCATCCCTCCCTGCCGCCATCATCCCCCCACTCACGTGATCTCAGAGTAGAAGGCCGCACGGCGCCACCGCTGGGTATTTATAGCCCGAGAGGTCTCGCGAGAGCACCGCCCGGCGGTGCAGCCCCGCACGCTGAATGAGGAATACTCCGCGGCGAGGAGCGGAGCTTTGCGCTCACTTATACAGGGTCCGGGGTGCCGAGACCACGTTGTCACTGCGCGGTGTGGGTATATAGGGGAGCGCTGGCGTGGGGCGCTCATTTTGGGGGGAAGCTCCGGTAAGTGCTGGGTGTGTTGTCCTTTTCTGTGCTCTTTAAGCTTATAAAAGCATCTTTCGGGTTGTGTTTGTGGTGTTACGGAGCTGGTGCCGGGCGTGATTTCCGTGAGCGGCCTTGGAAGGCGCATTAGGGGTCGTGTTAGCTCACAGGCGCGGTCTGAAAATCACTTGGGTTCTCGTGTGGCCCCGGTGAGATAACTGTGCCGACAGCAAAGGGAACATAAAGCTTACTGCCCGCAGTGACGTGCGGGGAGTGAAACCCATGTTCCCATAGCCCCTGTACCGGGATATACCTGTTTATACACTGGGTGTTAATGGGGGTAATGCGCATTGAGGGAGCGGCTCTTCTCATCGCTGACTTTGTCTCCTTAGGCAGGAGCTGCGCTCCTCCTGGATGGACAGCGGTCCCATGTGCTCCTTGTGCCCTCACAAGGGCTCTCCTCACTGCTTATGACAGCCATGCAGAGCAAGCGGTGCTGCAGCGGACGATGATGGAGTATTCACATCAGAAACACTTTGAAATGGTCTTGTTCTGTATTTCGATATGCAATAAACGGTGGATTTACTTGAAAGCCCGTGTGTTGAGTCTCTGGTTGTTTCTATCGTATAAATCGCCCGTTTTTCGCGGTGGTTGGGGCCGGGAAGTCGCTTTCCTGCGGGCAGAGCAGGGATGCTCTGCTCTGCTGGGCTGTTCTGGCCTCGCCGGTGCTACGGTACCGGCTGTTCGCATCCGTTATCCCGGAGGCTGCCCGGTGCCACACCAGTCATGGCACTGGTGGTGTTCCCTCGTCTGCGTCACTCGCATGCGCCGGAAACGGTGCCCTTCTCCCGTAGCAACCGGGAGCGCCGGAAGCGGCCCGCATGCGGTGTTGGACATGGAGGAGGCGGCCGCCAGCGCCCTGCGCTTCAAGAGCAAGTGAGGAGGGACCGGAGTGTCCGGGGCCGGGCACGGGGGCTGCGGGGCTGGGGACACTGGAGACGCGGGGGCTGGACGTATGTGCTGGGGCCAAATGGTTTGGGTTTAACCGCGTCCCTGCGCGGGTCTCTCTGTGCCTTGCAGCTACGCCGTGTCGAGGAAGATCGAGCCTTTCTACAAGGGAGGTAGAGTCCAGGTAATGCCCGACCCGAGGCGGGTTTGGAAACACCCTTTTCCCCTGGCTCTGTGCCATTCCCGCTTCCTGTTCCCTTTCCTCCAGGTGAACCGAGATGGGAAGTTCATGTTCTGCCCCTGCGGGAACAAGCTCAATATCATCGAGGTGGAAACGGGAGCTTTGCAGAGCCTCCAGCAGGTGACGGGGGGCTCAGGCTCCATGGCTGGTGGTGAAACCCCTGAGGGCTCTCAGGGGCTCCAGGGGTGTTTCACTGCTGTTGATCTAAAGCAGAGGGGAGGATGAGGAGGTTCTAAACACAGGCAGATGCTACTTGTGTTGTCTCTAAGTGCAGCTGGGAGCTGCTGTGCTCAGCACCAGCAGAAGCACATAGAGAAGAGACCTCTGAGAGCCTCCATGAGTGCTTTAACCATGGGGTTTTACCTTTTGTTTTCATAGGAGGAGGAGGAGGACATCACTGCATTTGCTGTTAGTCCTGATGATAAGGTATGTGTTTGCTTTGTGGGTTTCTTGGCTGTTCTGTCAGGTCTCCTGATAAAGCCAGTGAAAGCTGCATGTGCTTCCAGAGATCTCTATGGAGGTGCTTCTATCTCTCTCCCCTCTGGGTTTGAGTCAGAGGAACACCGAGAGACTGAGCTGTAAAGAGTATCACATCAGCGGGCATTTCCATGCTTTGTATGTAAGGACTGACAGAAACTGAACTCAAATTAGTGGTTCATTGTGCTTTCCTTCCCCTTGCTCTTGGGTAGATCCTTGTGACCGGGAGCCGGGCGCTGCTGCTCAAGCAGTGGAACTGGCGAGAGAACCAGTGTGTCCGCACGTGGAAGGCCGTGCATGTAGCGCCCGTGGCTGCCATGGCCTTTGACTCTACCTCAACACTGCTGGCCACAGGTATGGGCCTACCTCCTGCTCACATGGGGAGAGGGATATCGAGTGGCCCTTCAGCTTCTGAATAATTCAGCTGAGCTGGACACAGCCCGAGGTAGCGATCTCCTGAGGTCAGGCAGAGTCAGAGGAGGTTTTACTTGAATAGCAATGATGTCTTGGCAGACAGCAAGAAATCCTTTCAATGTAAAATGCTCATAATAGCAGGCATCTGTGAGACAGTGCAGCATAGTTATCCTGGTGTAGAACAGGGACTCCTGGAGGTGGAGGAGATCAAGCATTACCTGTGACTTCATTGTACTTAAGTCTGACTCTGAGCTGTCAGGTTTTGTCCACCTTTCTGAAGATGTAAGGTGCTCCCTGGGCTCCTCTTGCTGTGGGTGGTTGTTACTGGATTCATTTTTCCTTCTGCTGCCGTTGCAATCCATGAAACTTTACATTTACTGATATGTTGGACCTCTTCTCTCTCCTTCATAATTCATTCTTATGTGCCCTTCTATTCCCAGGTGGCTGTGACAGCACTATTAAGATCTGGGATATGATCAAACAGTACTGCACACACAACCTAAAAGGATCTTCAGGAGTTGTACAGTAAGGATAAGTCATATTTGTCCATCACTGGCATTAATGTAGTGCTCGGATGCTGGGACTGATGTGAGATGTCTTGAGTTAATGGAATGTAAAGGCCCATTTGAAGCAGATTCTGGGCTCTTCTGCTTCCTGACTTGTGAGATGTGTAGGGAAGGAGCAGGGCTATGACTGACCTTAGCCCAGAGAAAAAAGGGTTTGGTCAAGGAATTTGTTGGGATGTAAATGGAATATCTGTGCTTGCTAATGGATGTACATTAAGAACATGAAAAGACTGTCAAAGATCAGTTGTAAATGGGTGGCAGAGGAATGAAGTCCTACAAAAAAGTCAATCAAAAGTACATTGATGTCAATCAATCTGTCAATCCCTTTGTGTAGAATGCATATTTATTTGTTAGGCTAATGCCAGGTAGTTTACTCCTGTCCCATTCAAGTGCATCTCCTTCCGTCCAGCCTTGTGGAGTTCCACCCTGATATATCCTGTCTACAACTCTTCTCCTCCTCAATGGACTACAAAATCCGCATCTGGGACCTGAATACCAGCAAGTGTGTTGCTGTGTTGGATGGACACTTCAGTGCTGTCACCTCACTGGTGTTTGCAGATGGAAACACGCTCCTTAGGTGAAAGTCTGTAGGGTTTTAGCCTGTCTCTCCCCTTCACCTGCCAGAGACTGGGGGTTTCTTTAGGGTCTGGGAGGGTTTTGTGAGGAGAAGCAAACCACAGGTATACAGTGTCTGCTTGAGGGGTGTTTCTGGCAGTATCCTGTGTTGCCATATAGAAGGCTGGTGCTTTCTTTCACATGGGCCTCTTCAGAGAGGTGCTGAACCCCCACAGTTCCAAACTGGCACTCAGAGTTTGAGTTCACAGTGTGAGTTGAATGGATTTGGCACCAAACCTGCTCTTTTACCTTCCAGTTCTGGCCGGGATAAAATCTGCATTGTGTGGGACCTGAAAACCAGAGAAAACAAACACACTGTCCCTGTCTATGAGGTGAAGTTGCATTTCACTTATTCCTCTGAGATCCTTTGCAGTTTCTAGCTCAGCCCTACAGTACCTCTCCCTCTTTAGCTTCCTCTATATGGTGAAAGGAGGTTTCTCCCCCTTATACTTCCCAAAGGCCTTAAAACTCTGTGTCTAAACCTCTTTATTTTCTTCTTCTCTTTGCTCGGTGCGGTTGTGCCTGGGCAGTTGAGGAAATACATGCTACTGCTGCCTCCAATGCCCCAGTGCTAGAGGAGGGAAGGACACTCATGTCAAACCTTCCTTCTCTCGCTGTATCCACTGCCAGTTCTCAGTAGCTGTGCAGTCTGGGGCAGCAGTGTGGATGTTGTGTGTGTGTGTCAGCACTAGCAGGCTGTTCACAGCTCTGGTTGCTGAAGTGGGAGCCCAGTCTCTTGTGCTCAGCTGGTGCTTGGCCAATTCATTTGCAGAGCGTGGAAGCTGCTGTCTTGTTACCAGAAAAGGGCGATTTCTCTCAGCTGGGTGTGAAGAAACAAGGGTTGCACTTTGTCACAGCTGGCAGCAAAGGTGAGTGTCCTGGTGTGTCACTGCCAGATCTGGAGGCTGAGGAAGGATGGTACTTACGACACTGTATTGCCAGTATACCTGGGATGGGTGTTCTATGGGTGGCAGAATCCTTGGGCTGAATTCCTGAGGGCTGGAGAGCAGAGCTTTCTCCTGAATCCAACAGCAGTAAATGAGCAGGATTGATCAGGCATGCCATGGAGCTTTATCTATGTGTGCTTTCAAACTGCAATGAAGTTTGGTTTGGACAGAAGAACTGTGGCTCTTTGTGGCTGTGACTGGATCTCTTCATAGCCCTGCCTTAAAGCTGCTGAGCAATTTCCAGTAGGCAAGGCCAGAGTTTGTTTTATATTCTTTGGACAATCACTGTCTAAAACAGTGGGTAATTTATATCTTTATTTTTATCAGGTATCCTGAAAGTTTGGGAAGTGGCCACAGCTGCTTGTGTGTATTCCCAGCCTATGCCCTTTGAGCTGAAGGAGGAGGCCAGCGAGTGCAGTGTCACCCAGTGCATGCTTGTGCCTGAGAGAAATGAGATTGTCACAGTGTCTGTGGAGCACAACATTATTTTCTATGATGCTCAAACTCTTCAGCTTAAGAAGCAGGTAACAACCCTTAACCTCCCTTTTCCTCTTCCTTTATCCATACTTTGGGATCAGCTCTGCTTCTGGGGAAAGCACGATGCCATTCAGTACTTCTCTAACTAGCTTTTTGTTGTTCAACTGTGTCTGTTCTGCCCTCCTTAGCTTGCAGGTTACAACGATGAGGTTCTGGATGTGAAGTTCCTTGGGCCTGCTGATTCTCACATTGTGGTGGCTACCAACAGCCCTCAGCTGAAGGTGTTTGAGCTGGCAACATCGCACTGCCAGATCCTCTATGGCCACACAGGTCAGTGGTCAGCTCTGATGTGGATGGGTGAGAGATGTGCAAGTATAGCTTGATCTCTCACAATCCACGTGTGGAGACTGGAGTGCTTGAGTTCTCTGGAGCAGCATCACCATTTGGAGTTGCGTGGAGAAAGGATCTGTTTTGCTCTCCTGGGTTTGCAAACATCAGTTTTTCTGGGTCTGTCTGTTCAGTCCCTTTCACTAGCAGTGAGATTATTTTAAATCGGAGCTCAAGATGCAGGTATGAGTGCAGTTTTGTGGCTGCAAGTCATGGGCTTGCAC